ATATCGATTGATTTTTCTTAATAAAAATAGTAAATTCATGTATTTTAATAAATCTATACGTAATCGTTCAATAAAAGTGTAAAACATAATTCGTCAAAAATTTATAAACGTTTAAAAATAAATGAAAAGTCTCAATTAATAAATCGAAATCATCGTTTATTAAGCAATTATCGAAAAATAGCTTTAATTGTAAAAAAATATCCACGAAACATCAAATGCAATTCTGATTCGTTCAATTGGGTTCGCTATCGTTAAAACTGAACAAATTGTTCCAATTAACAATAAACTTAATTTTTAAAACACTGATCAGTTATATATTCGTTTGACAATGTACTGGACAAGTGGCATAGCGAAAGTATTATAGGTTCGATTGCCAGACTATTATATTCTAAAGTCCCATCTTGCACTTCATTGTCGGACGTTCCTGAGGGTATCTAACGATATTGATTTAATAACTTGCATAAGAAAATAATCAAGTGTTATGTGCTAAATGTTACGACACAAGTCGTCAAGTGTTACGGCACACGTGTCAAGCATGCAAAGTGCTACGGCATATGTAAGTTAAAACTTTTTAACGTATCGTTCATATCTCAAGTTACGGCCATCGGGACATAACAAATCATATCTCTAGATATTATAATTATCGAATAAAATTTTAGATCAAGAACTTTATTAAAAATATTAAAAATATTAAAAATATTAAAAATTTCTTTATACAGAAAAACTCCGAATAAATTTAAATTAATCAGCTTTTAGAACTTCAGTTGCTATTACATTATTAGCAATCTTAGACGCTTTTTTGTTTTTGTTTTTTTTTGGCAGTTTTTTTGGGTTGTTGCTCACTTTCCCGAAGCCCATTTTTCTGACATACCAGTCGTAATACCGACAATCCATTTTACTAACAGGACAGAAATAGGTCAGTGTCATTTCACCGAATATCAATTAACCGACAAGTTTATTTCACTGACAGTTTATTTAACCAACAGTCATTTCACCGACAAAGTAATTCTGATCATCGTCGTTAGGGTCAGGTTTAGAATTAAAGTTAAGGTTAATGCAATTTTAAAAAAACTTGTCGGTGAAATGATCTGCCAGTGAAATAATTGTCAATAAAATAAACTTATCGGTTAATTGATTTTAGGTGAAACAACTTCGGTGAAATGGTATTTCAGAAAAATGGATCCTTTTTTTGTCGTCCCTAGATTCACCAGCAAATTTTTTCATCAATCCTCTTGAAAAGATATTCGGCTTTGCCGATTTGGTAGCCAGCTTCAATATCCATTGTAAACGTATCAGGAATATTCCTCAGTGGTGCACTTAATTGACTCAGTGACGGATGGCATATATAAGACTAAATACGGCATAAATCAAATTTATCGAGACTCCAACGAACGAAGCGCATTTCTCAGGAAAGTATTATCGAGTTTTGATTCCTGCAGATAACCATTGCCCTGTTGCGAAATCTCCATGGCTATTTCAAGACCTGCACGTAATTTTATATTTCCTAGTGCTTCGATATAATTTGTCAACAAATTATTGATGTTCTTTATAAGTGTTTGTTCTGATTCGGAATCACAAGATAGGATAGTGCTATCATATTTGGCAGGACAAATTTCATAACGCGATTAGCAAAATTTCCAAGATTGGCCAACAATTCAGTACTATTCCTGGTAATAAATTTTTTTCAAGTGAATATAGAATTACTTGTTTCAGGACGGCTTGAAATATTGCGAGATTTGGAAAACTTCATATTTTCATAATTAAGATATTCTAATTGTAACACACACACATATATATATATATATAATTATAAAAAAAAAACAAATTCAGAATATCAAAAAATTGTCAATTCTTATCAGTTAAGCTTATATGATGCAACAGAGTCCATTCTTCGTCCGTACCCAATAGTGAACAAGGAAACATAACAGTATAAGACTTACCCAATAGGTGCATCAAATCAAACATAAACTATTTTTCCTTTCATTTATTCGAGTGGCCCCAGCTAAGATCACATGTAATACGAGGTTTTAACACTTCTTTAAGCCAAGATTGAGTAATATTTTTGCTATTAGCTGTCCATTTACCCTCAATACTAGTCTTTTCAAAAACATGTGATTCGATTTTCTTG